GTACCATATTGGGGGGGTAGAGATTTCCCAAGCTCCCTCTTAGTGCACTGTAATTGAATTCATGTATATGGACAGCATACTTTCATCATAACAGGAGCATTTTAGCACAATGTCATGGGGATGAAAAAAGGTTTATCCAAGTGCTGTAAGCAATGTATGAAAGAATTAGTGTTTTACGGTGAGACAGTGGCTGGTACATGACAAAGGTGTGTACTTCCTTGGCCCAAATACTGGGAAACACAAGAGACTAAAGGTAACCAGAGAAAGCATAGGAATGCTGGGTCTGTTCAGCCCAGAAGCGGAATTTAAGTAAGGTCTGAGTATTAGTTTATTGAGCAATGCTACCACTTTAAAACTGACTAAGCCAATACTTAAAAATGTTATCCAAGTCCTCCAATGCTGTCATCTGAGATCAAAGCTCTATTGCCATACTTTTCCATCCTTTACTCTTTTCCCATACCTGCACGGATTCTTGCAGCTTCTGACTTTTAAACTGAAAACCACTTGCAATGAGAATAGTAAGAACATTAATAGTGTGTTGGGGAGCCCCTGGTGGTCTAGAGGGTAAAAGCGCTGCGCTGTCACCGCAGAGACCTGGGTTCGATTCCCGGTCGGGGCCACTCCCCGGGCAGATGGAGCTCGTTAGCCCTGTAAGGCGGCAATCCATCTACGTCCTGAGGACCTCGCTGCCACCGTCCAAGCTCGCTTGGCCCCGGCAGATGAACCTTAGGTGGGCTCAGTTCCACGCACACTGTGTCTCACCTAAAAAATCCAATGTGCAGGCTGGAAGGTGGAAAGACCTTCCCCGGTTCTTCGTTCACGAAGACTGGCCATTACATTACAATAGTGTGTTGATAGTTTAAAAAAATTGTATGTAGGATAATAAAATCCATCTGACAGCTGATATTCCAAGGCCTATATATTGCCTATTCAGCTAATAAAAAAGCTGTATTCGAGCTGGTAAATGCACTGGAAGACCCTAGTTAATAGCACAGGATCACAACCTGACTCACATTTCATAATAAAAAATTTCAAGCTTCTAGTTACTGTCTTCTTACCAGATGTCCTTAACACAATTAAACTCTGCTAATTTACTTACCTTGAACCAGCTAAATGCATGATAGTTTCACCAGCATTTTTAAAATTAAGCATATTAGACTGTTGTAACAGAGCACAGACCACAAAGATACCTCCCTAGAGGAGAGAGAGAAGACAGTAGAACCCCATTACCACCCTGAGTGTTTCAGCAAGAGATTCATGGCTTTACAGAGGTGTGCATTCATCTCTAAAGTTTAAACTTTTTGTTGTTTTGCTCTGGGTGGCTGATCACACAGAAAAACATTTGTGCAGAGTACAAAGAAAGAGGGACTTCCTGTGCTGCACTTGTCAGAACAAGTCCAGAACTTCGAGCAGCAGAGATAACCTGCTGGTTACGGTGTGGTCAGGACTTTGAAAAGTTAAAATATACCAGAAGGAAAAGATACAGGTTCATGGGGTACAGCCAGGTTAAGGGTGGCTTGCAACCATCTTAGAGCACCTTTCCTTTATATCCAGCCTCAGCATACTTTACTGGAAACATAGATAAGGATTGCTTTACTTCAGTTGCCATATTCACTCACCACTGAATATAACAAGCTATCCAACTGCATGTTATCCTAGAAAAGAAGACTAGGTGCATCTGCAGAAGCTTTAGACTCAGGATTTCAATTCCAAATTTTCACAACTGAAAAAGATACAAAAATTACTATCTAAAGGTTGTAATTTAATGTATATAATTTCCAACAGGATGTAGTATTACTATAAGATACTGACAAGCCTCAGTTCCCGAGGAAACCACCTTCTTGTATTTCTATAATGCAAATCTGTTGAAATACAAATGTATTTATCCTCAATAAGTTAGAATATATAAGTGATCTAGCAATAAAAGTTTCACTCATTAGCTGAATTAGTCCAGGGAAGAGAGATCAATGCATTTCCCGAGGAATGTTCAGTTGAAGGCTTGATAAAATGAACAAAGTGACCAACCAGCTCATCTCTGCATTTCTCCCACATAATTCAGGTGCCTGAACACAGGAATGGGAAGTGTTTACTGTTCTTTTTGAAACACAGTCTAATTCTGGGTGCATTAGAGAAGCCTCCATGCTGTGCTCCTGAACCACAACATTCGGTGAAAAGGAGGTATTCCCTCTTTCCAACAAACAGCTGCAAAAATGCTTCCTAGGAAAAGTATATTAAAATAATTAATAACAGACATGCTTTTGTAGGTAACTGTCTGATGTGGGGCAAGGTAATTTATTAACTATATTTTAAACACAAATCAACCTGGTTATTCCCAAATGACCTACAAGTAAAGGAACAAGCTGTGTGCAGTAAATGCTCACTCTTCCATATAAGCAGAGTAATATCCTTTCCCAAAACAGGACACCCAACACTCCAATCTAATGCACAATGAACTATTTCAACTATTTCAGTTCATGACATTCTATCTAAATACTTTCAAATATTAGATTCTGGAGCATAAGGTAATGGACTGCTGGAAAAATAACCACATTTTCATATAAATAAATTACTTTTTCACTTGTAGAACAAAAAGATGTAGGCTTAGCACTGCCATAAAGCATTTTAAACATGCATCAGCACACTGCAAACTGGAACTTTTTTTCCTATTTTATTCAACCATCAACCTGTCAAAAAAGCCAGAATTTGAAGTTTTATATTACATTACATAATTATTATGTATTATATAAAATAAGAACATGAGCAACAGGCACCACAGTGGTAATAACAGTATCTTGTTCAAGCTCCTCAATAACTTGATTATCTTGGTACCGAAGAAAAGCTTGCATAATGTAAAAAAATCTTATTAAATGGGAAAAAGAAACTATTACTTTTCGTTACAGAGAATAACAGAGATACAAAGATCAGACAAGCTTGGCAAGTTTGTCACCTGAACAAATACTAGCTTTCAATGCAGAGGTAGTAAATCCAGTAGAATTCATTATACAACTGGTTGGTCAAGTAAGTCTTCCAAATTTCATTTTACGTCTTGTTAGACATCAAGATCTTAAATAGCATTTGTTTCCCTATGTTTTCATCAGATGTCCAATTTGTATAGACAATATCTAACACCTGTTTTCATGTCTACCTTGGCAAATTCACTTGAAAGACTATCATGAATGATAAACATCATAACATCAAATTCCTGTAAGATCAGAGAATCATCGAAGTTTGGGTTGGAAGGGACCTCTGAAGATCATCTAGTCCAATCCTCTTGCAATTACTTGAATGTTTACGGGGATGGAGAAACTACCAACTCTCTGGGCAACCTGTTTCAGTTGTTTCACCACTCTCATTGTAAAAAAACTTTATGTCTAGTCTGTATCTACCCTTCTTTAGATTATAAAAATTACACCTTTTCCTATCACAACAGGCCCTGATGAAGTTTGCCCTCATCTTTCTTATTAGCTCCTTTAAAGTACTGAAAGGCCATGAGGTCTCCTTGGAGCCTTCTCTTCTCCAGGGTGAACAACCCCAAGTCTCTCAGCCTGTCCTTACAGAAGAAATGCTACAAACCTCTGATCATCTTCATGGCCCTCCTCCAGACTCACTTCAATAGGTCCATATCCTTCCTGCACTGAGCACCTGTCTTGGGTTACAGAGAGTCTGGTATCCACCTTTTCTCTTTTCTTTTGTGTTTGTGTGTGTTTTTCCTTCTTTAAAGAGACTTAACTGCTAGTGATTACTGACTCAAACATTCAACCACATACAAATGACCGCCCAGGCACTGTAAGACACTACTGGTGCTCATGGCTCAACCAAGTGTGCTTTGCTAATGATGTGCAGAGTGGGCACCCAGGCCAGGGGCTGAAGGCAAGCAAATCCGACACCTCAGGCTATGTAAGCTTGGGTCACACTGAGCTTGTCATCCACCAACACTTCCAAGTCTTTTGACACAAAGCTCCCAGCTTGTGCTTAGGATTGCCCTGACCCAGATGCAAGACCTTGCACTTGGCCTCGTTGAACTTCATGAGGTTCACATGGGTCCACTTCTCAAGTCTGTCCAGGACCCTCTGCATGGAATCCTGTCCTTCACATCTGTCAACTGCACCACTCAGCTTTGTGTCATCTGCAAACCCACTGAGGGTGCACTCAATCTCACTGTCAATGTAATTGATGAAGGCACACCCAATACTGGTCCTAGTACAGACACCTGAATGACACCACTTATCTATCCTTCATCTCCATCTGGACACTGAGCCATTGACCACTACCCTCTGGATGCAACCATCTAGCCAACTTCGCATCCACTGAACAGTCAATCCATCAAATCTCTCTCTCTCTCTCCAATTAAGATCAAATTAATCCAACTATCCAGCTATTTTAATCCAACTTCTTCCTGTGCTTCTGCTAGCCACACACCAAACTTTGAGACACTACAGTGGATACATACCTTAGACATGAATATTGTCAGTAAGAACTGAGAATACATTTGATGTCATGATTTGTAGTTTTCAAGCCGTGGGATGCTACACTGCCAAGAGAAATGCGTGCCTTCAACTCCAAGCAATACCGGTTCACAGAATAAGGAGGCTCTAGGAAGAGCCTAGTGTCATCCTAAATGTACTCAACAGCCTTTGCACACCTCTGTTTCCGATGTGTATATAGTGATACAGCACTGCCGGATGTTAAAATAATCCATTACCCTAGCATTCAAACACATACTGATAATGGTGTAGACAGGAAGTGACAGAATTACACAAAAATTGAGTTCTGACATTTAACTGATTATTTTCTCACTGCTGTGCATTTCCCTCATTACCATTATTTAATTTGAATTAATTTCATTTTAGAAGTATTATCTACTTTCTATATAATTCATATTTTTCAATATACATAAGCAAGTACTTTTCTTGAGTCATTTTGTGGTTTCCTGTGAATTCATGGAAGTCTGAAATGGAGATGAAGCAGGGAGAGAAAACTCAATGTAGTCAAGTGTTATCAATGTATATGCCATTTTGTTCCTATTTCCAAGGATGTGAGACAGGATACTAACCTTAAATAAGGACAATGACACATTAAAATTAGACAAATCTCAATTATTTTCTGGTAAATAAAATCAAATAATAACAACACACACCTTGAAAAAGTTACATAACTTCAGAATAAAACTTTAAAAAATTCAATCATTCAAAAATATTGCAAGAAAAATCTTGAAAACTTCCTTCTTTCTCTGTCTTTAGTAATTAAGCCTATTCAGCAACACAGTTTGGAAGACAGATCTTCAACACAGAAAGGCTTATTTTGACAGTCACTATTATAAGAAGTTACAAGGAGAACAGATCATATATTCCAACTCCACAATATTTTTGTGACAATTTGCTGTGATGGCTGTCAGTCATTCCTATTTGTTTCAATGGTCTCTGTAAGACCACTCCTTTCGTTCTCTTCTAGGTATGCATCTCTTTTCTCAGTAAAAGTAGCAAACAGTGTATCCATCATTCCCAAGACTTCTAGTAGTTCCTCTTGATAATCAATCTCCTTTCCTATAGCTTCCTGAAGTTTCAAGAACTGTTTATCAACAATCGCTGACTGCCCAACCACAGGCTGATAAATATCTGTAAAGAAAAACATCACTTAAGAATCCACATATGTATAAAAAGGTGAAAATTGCATTAGTTAGTTAGAGATGCTTTTAAGGAATCTGGCACAAGTCCAACCCTGTGGACAAACAAAACAACTTTAATAGTGTTCCAAATACAGTGGTCATATGTACTCAATGTAACAGTATGTCAAACTAATAAAAACATGTTTTTATGATCTCTAATACTATTTTTACCTCACAGAAGAAGTTACTTGTACTATGTAAGCATAGAAACATGAAGTATCAAAGATACTTAGAGACCACAAGGAGCTTCCTGCAGCCAGTGCAAATCAGATACTGACTGTGGTCAGAGTTATCTGGCAATGTCTCTTTTTGGATCATTCTCTTGACACTGAGTTCCTACTTATAAGCGAACCCATAAAGGTTTGTTTTCTTAAAACTGTAGCACTTTCAACCTTATTTCCAAGGTAGCTAACTTTAAGAATCTTTTTTGTGTTGTCCTTACCAGTGATCATATCTGCAACAGTCACCAGCACAGGAGTAAATCTTGGCTCAATCACACGCCTGCAAAATTGGAAGACATTCTAGTTTTATTCTTTTATCCACTGCATTCCTACCATCAACAAGTAGCTTTCTCACACAGGCATACAGACTTTTTCTTCATGAAGACATAGCACAGAACAGCAGTCAGAAATGCAAGTCAAAAAAAAATCCCGTATGTGGTGTTCACCTCCTCCTTTTGGGAAGACAGTGGGGGTTGGAGGACTGGCAAAAAGCCTCAGGTACATGAAGACATAATAGATCAAGGGTTGAATGTCTGTCAAAGAAGTAGAATATCTCATACTATCAGCTAAACTGTTCTGTGCTAACAAGTAAACTGTTTCAGACCTATCCCAGATTTTGCTATCAGAATGCAAAAGGCTTGTGAGATTTCAAGAGCAACAATGTTCTACCCATGATCTGTTGAAACTCTGTGACTAGTTATTAGAAAATAAGTGTCAAAATAGTTAGAGGGTACTCAGGTTAAAATAATACCTTGCCACAAAGGTAAGGAGAAGATTAACTTGCTTCTCATCTCGGCCTGCAAGCGCACTCCTCAGTGTTCCTCTGCGATGTAGTTCCTGCATGACTGCAACTGTAACTTCAGGAGTATGAAGCATGATGGGTGGCTGGACACATATAAAAGAGTTTAGCACCAAAACAGTGTCTTTACGCACAACACATATCAGATCAGCAAAACCAAAATGAAACCCAAGTTTGATTTCTTTCTAGTTATACACTAAGATAAAATTAGTTTGAAATACAGGAAAAATTCACATCAGGTGACAGCATACAACTCTGATGAGAAAAACCAATGCCTTACCTCCAGGACTGCATCAAGAGCCTTGGAAGACTCAAAGCTCTTCAGCAGCTTGTCGTATTTCCTCAAAACACGTTTTACAGGTTTACTGACACAGAAGTCTTCCTAGGATTCAAATATGAGTTCAGAATTAGACAAATACACACACATAGTAGATTAGATGTATTACCATGAACAAGCTTGTACGTCTTTATGTACTTCCTCTCTTCCCTTTCTCCAACCCAGCACATTCAAAAAAAATTTGACAAGGGCTTCAGAACACATTTTCTTACCACCTCATACCTGTTTTGGCATATAAGTTCTTCCTTTCACGTAGGTTCTATATCCTAGTTGTCTCTTCTTTTGAGACTTTTCATTCCTTTCTTCAGGTCTCCTGTGTTTAACATTTAGCACCCCGTTGGTCATGCCTACAACTATAGTTTCATCTTCAGGCTAGAACAAAGAAAACACAGAGCTAGGACCCAAGTGTTTTATTTGGTGCTCTATCATGGCGATTTTTAAATTTTTACGCTTTGTGATAAGGCTCAAATAACAGTATCATAGATACCTCTTTGAGGTCCCATGATCAAATACTTTGTTCAAAACAGGGACAACTTCAAGGTTATGTTGTTCATAAGCAATATTACAGACTAACTAGTGAATCAAGCTCAACTATGCATTAACATCCTTTTGTAAGCTTGAGTTTTGTGTTTTTTCAATGGCAGACAACTGCCTTTGGCTATTACACGTCATACAACAGGCATGACCACCACCTAGGAGAAAGCAAAGCTGTCATGGAACAGCAGGATTTTGAGAAACAAATGAAAGTTGTTCAAAACACTGGTCACTTACATAATAAAGTAAGTATAAGTTTCACTCAAAGAAGCTGAGGATGCTCCTTTCCTTGAAGTGTTCAAGGCCAAGTTGGATGGGGCTCTGAGCAACCTTTTCTACTACAATGTGTCCCTGCCCATGGCAGCAGGGATGGAACAAGATGATTTTGGCCTTCCAAGCCAAACCATACTATGAAATAATAAATAATATAATATAATATAATATAGCCTACAGAATTATGACAGGTATGACGGAGATCAGCTGGTCAATGTCTCATTTAAGGGCATCAGCTGAAGCCAATGAAACTAATAAGGGCTGGACTTGATGATTTCAGAGGTCCTTTCCAACCTGGCTAATTCAATGATTCTATGATTCAAGTGGAACAATAAGAAGCAATTCTTCATACAACAAGTATCAGAAATGTGGAACTCTTTGTCAAGGAATCTAGGCAAGGTTTCGAGTTTGCCCAGGTTCACATAGAAATCACTCTGCTGAGCTAATTTCTCATGTATTTATCAGTCAGCAGGAATATAATCAGTCATCCCACTTTGCATCCAACAGCACTCTTCTGAAAAACCTCGAATAGCCATGAAAGCAAAATTAATTACTTCAGTGACTTAAAAGGTATCAATAATTACCTTATCTAGAAAGATGTCTACTGTACTTACCGACAACGCAAGACTGAGGATGGATGTTGCATAATTAAAGCTGTGGACTACTTTGTAGGATGTAGTACTGTAAATCTTCACATGCCTATACAGAACAGTAATGATAAAAGTATTGTTAGTAGTGCCTTATCATAGTCACTTTGCAGGAATTTCATCCCTCTCAACTTCTATAGATCACTTAAGGAAACTGAGTATTGACATTCCTCAGACTTCCACCGAGCTTCTTAATTATTACTGTTAAAAAATATCAACAAGTCACGACAGGATTGCTCTTACCCCAGAAAAGATGAAAATAGGGCAAGGACAGGAGAAGAAACTGAAGGCAGATGTAGTGACTATTTGCCTTCAGAAATGCGTATTAAGAAACAGCATCATTTCAAATTTGTTCTTTATTTTAAATGTAAGATCTATTAACAATTTCTGGAAGTAAATCCATAGATATTGTATCCAGCTCATCCTTAATGATTTCATTGAAAGTATCAGATATTAAAAAAATGGGAAAATAAAACATTATCTTACAACAAGGATGAATTGTAGTGTTATGTAATCATAAAGCCTGAGGTAACCTAGCAAGTACAGGAGAGAGGAGGGAAACAGACCACTGTCATTTCAGACCACTTCATATTTCTGATGTCTTGGAGACAACAGACCAAGTACCAGTATACACCAACTTAAACCAACCATACAAAAAAGCCAGGAGGTCATCTTTCACCTGTCATCTCGAGTACAAAAAGCAACAGCAGGAGACAGAAAACTCAGGCTTTTAAAAAGTGAACACTAATACACTTGCAGCTATTTAAACTGTATTAAAAAATAGTTACTTTACAGAGACTGCAAAGGTCAGTTCAGAAATTAAAAAAAAACACAAAATGCTTATTGAGAAGTTGCCTGTGTGCATTCCTGTATGGCACATGCAATCCTTACTGACATTCAGGTTATTAAGAAGAAAAGGTTAAGGTATATCATAGAATCATAGTACAGTTCAAGCTGGAAAGAACCTCTTAAAGGTCCTCTAGACCAACTCTCCTGCAATAAGCACAGACATCAGTTACATACCTTGGCTCCAAAACCTGTTCTCAAGTAAAACCCAAAATACATCCACAGGTTCACAAATTCTTTACTTTCAAAGGACAAAAAGTTCTAAAGAATTTAAATCTCAACAAAGCCACAAAATGCACTAACCTGTCCAGGGATCCTGACAATAACCTTTGTCCAGAGCTGTTCAAGCATAAACAAGTTACAGTTTTGTGGTGATTTTTAAGTGAAACCAGTAACTGTCCACCTTTTAGTACATCCCAAACTTTGACATATCGACCTCCTGTGAAAAGGAAGCAAACAAAACAGTCTTACATATGTACACATTTATGTTTCTCTAAAGAAGTTTTCACAGAATAATAAATAACACAGTTTTCTGTACCTACTCACCATGCCCTTCCATTATGACTATCTCCTGGGAAAAGACACACTACAAGCATGCTCCTTTTTAGGCCATTCTGAATGGAGATGAATGATTCAACATACTCCTTACCAAAAAGACCAAAAATCTGTAAACCACTGGGTCACAGGACTTGTGATGGCAAGAAGAGACTTTAAAACCTTGTCAACATTAAAAGACAGAGTCCCATCTTTTCAAAACTTCTTAAATACGTTGATTCCTTCACTTTAATACTGGGCTAATTAAAGTCTGCAGTTTGCCATTAAAAATGTCTTTTTCTGGGTGGGTCTACTACAAGAATATCAAAACAGAGACAAAAAGAAAAGATGCCTATTCACATCCTCCAGATAAACGCAGCTTCCTAAAGAAGATATTTGAGAAATCTAGCTGTTACATCACCACTTCATTACCAAATTGAAGCACCACACATAAGTAGCTGAAGTATTTCTCAAATTACGACCACAGAAAAGATAGTTGATTTATTTCAGTTTATTGAATTACCTGCAGATACTAGAAGTCCACCAGAAGGGAACAGAAGCACGCTCTCCACAGGATGACCATGTTCTATTGTCATGACACTACTTTTTGTTCGTGCATCAAACAGTTTCACAGTGTGATCATAGGAACCTACAAACCATAAATAGCTTCAGTTTCAAAATTTCAATTATTTCAGGAACTAAAATGTTCTACAACCTAAAGGAGCTCTTGGCTAATAGTAATGTTTTAAACCATATCCTTAAAAACTCCTCATGGTTTACCTTAGTTAGTTTATGGCCTTCAGGAAACATAAATTTTCTAATTCTATTTTTAAGGAGTAAGATGAAGCTAGGGCTAATTTGCTTTAATTTTATTTCACTTCCCTTAATGAGCTGTATTTACAACAATAAATATTAGGCAACCTGATGAAACCTAGACTGTTGTGCCTCCGGATATAAGGAGTATTAGGTTTTTTCAAAGCAGTTTACCACAGGTTAACAGAAAGCTACTGCCAGGAAAACCAAAAGGAACTGGTTTCAAACAGCTCCTCACCCAACCTTTCATTTTGGAGCCAGAACCACTGTTCTGCTCTGGAAACCCGATAAAACACCTCAGTCAACCTGAGTCAAAGGATTCATTCACAGTATTTTCTTAGCTTTCAAAAGCTAGTTACAATAGTTCTGTTAACCCTAACAGGCTAAAACAAAAGATGTTAAAACTCAGTTCATGCTGAGTTTTCCCAAAACGTCAGCATCAAGTTTTAAAAGCATGCAAAAAAAGGAAACAACAAAGTAGCTATTGTGTAGGAAGACTAATCTTCCACTATTAAAATATAACAAACAGGACCCTACTGTATGAAAAACTTCCTTTCTGCATTTTTCTTCAACTCAATCCATAAGAAGCATAAATAATGAATAAAATCAAACCTGTTATAAAGACATCCGCATTCACTTTACTTGCACAGCCGCATCTCACGTAGTCAGTATGTTCAGTATATGAGACAATTTCTGTGGCACTTGGAATATCCCACAAATTTGTTGAATAATCATCACCACCAGAAAATATTCTGTATTTATCAGACAGGAAACCCACTAGATGAACCGGTCTAGAAAACAAAGTCCACAATAGTCAAAGTTAAAATACAACATATTTCAAGAAGTTAGTCTGTATGAAGAGTTTAATAAAGTAATTTAACTTAAAAGTGCAAAGTGGTTCTTTACATCAGAAGTTACAAAGTCTCACTTCAGAGGTTCAAATATTTTAGGTTTTGTATTTCCAGGCAGGAAAGGATCATGCTGACAGATTCTTACCTAAGCACTAATATGGTATGCCTTAAATCGTTTACAGATCTACTAGATGTCATTTGAAAGCTCTAAATTCTGCACTTGTTATTTAGAGGTCTGTGTGCTAGCACTGTCCTTCAGAAAACATTTACAATAGTGAATTTTAAGAAAAATTTATTACAGTAAGTTTTAAGTACGACTGGTTTGGACAACCTTTTCATTCTTTAAAATTGCTATTTAAATCTTTATTATCACCATAACATCCCGACAGAGAACGACTTTTACGGAAAACACAACAATCTTACTAGAGTTAACCTTGTCAGTGAAACATAACACCTGATCTACAAACACAGACCTCAAACCGAAACGCTCTCAACATCAACCTGGGTGCTTCTTGCTGAAAGGGGGGTTGTTGTTCTACATAGATGAAATACACATTGGTCTTCCACAGCACAGCAATCTTGAACAGACAATGTTGAGGCATTGTCTTCTTCTCACTGATACACAGAACTTCTAAATCTTTCCCCATCCCACACTATCATGATGAACTTTTCATGTTTTGGTTAGGGGTTTTTTTTAAGAGATCCCTTCTCTTCCTGGCATATTTCTTCATGGTTTTTGTTTAGACCCTTTTTAGAACTCTTTTCCTGCCAGCATCAAATAAAATGTACGTATCAGTGCCAGGAGGTCGTAAGAGTGTATCTACACAACATATTAACAGACACCTACAGGATATAGGAAACGTATTTACTCTTCTCTATACTCAATGCATATTTAGAATTTTTAAAAAAAACTCCCTCCAAGTCTGAATTTAATTGTAAAATCTACTTCTCAGTTAATATCTGCATGAGACAGTTTCAAGCAACATGGAACAGTATAACTCAGATTTTCAGCAACACACGAAGCAGGCATATAAATACTATGTACTGGTGAGGCAGCAGCATGGGTTGCCCGGGAAAGCTGTGGAGGGGAAAGCCAAGACTGCCTTACTTGGTGTGCCCATCGAACTGCCTCAGTGGTGCTCTCCCGCTGACGTCGAAGAGGCGGATGCTGCTGTCCTCGCTGCCCGCCACCAGCAGCTGTCCATCATCCCTGTACGTGGCACCGTACGCAGAGTCTCGGAAGCGGGAGAACGTTTTGATGGGCTCCTGGGAGTAACGGCCGTAAATGTGTATCTGGAGAAACAACAAGGCGTTAAATTTTCTTGTATCATATCAACACAAGGACAAGACCATGAAAACCTCAGAGAAGCCACTTACCCTCGAGGAGGCTGTGACAGCGTAGTTGTACGGCGGGACTGGGGAGAAGTCAATTTTATTTACTGCACCGAACTCCTTTATCTGAACGGGCGTCTAAAACAACAGTAGCAAAGATCATTAAAAAAACATTACCGCACCAACAAACGTGAAAACTGAAAAATAAAAACTACTCTTCCTACGGAGAGTTCAAAACGCCTTTAGAACCAAATCGTTTCTTAATAACAACGATACGGAATTTCACTTCTGCCAGGCTCGACTCTGGCTGTCAGAGTTTTTTTTTCCAAAACGCTCATTACAACTGACTCATTCACTACGTGTTTTCATGGGACACACACACACACACAAAATTACGCGTATTTAAAAAAATACTTCGATTAGTTGCAGGAAAGCAGTAAACAAAATTTCCAGGCTAGTAACTGCTGCTGTTGGGCCGCCTCCTACCTTGTACCCTCGCCAGTACAGCGTGTCCTGTGTGATCTTCTCGCCGAGCTTGGGGCACGCCTGCACTACCACAGGCTTGTACGCGGCCATGGCGCTGCGGGCGCGGGGGCCTCTGGGCTCGGCCCAGCCTCCCACCGCGCCTCCTCAGACCACGGCAGCCACTGCCGAGTGGCGCTGCCCGCGGGTCGGGTCCGGCGGGGCTGTCCGGGAGAGGCTCAGGAGGCGCGACGGGACCGGGACACGCCGCGGGATATGGCGGGAGATGGCGGCCCCGCGCCCGCCGCGAGGAGAGGCAGCGCGGGCGCGCCGGCAGCGCGTCATCGCGTCACGCGTCATCGCGCGTCACTTCCCGCCCGCGGGGCTGAGGGAGCGGGGCTCAGGTGAGGCCAGAGGGGCGGCGGGAGCTGGGACAGGGGAGCGGGGCCGGGGGAGCGGGGCCATCTGTGGGGCTGTGGTGAGTGCTTCGCGCTTCCACAGGCAGCGGGGAGGGCTCCAGGCGTGCCCGGGGACGCCGCGGACCCCGGCCCAAGCGGAGGCTCCCCGCGGCCCTATGGGCAAGCTCCTGCTGTCTCGTGGTGTCTGCCGCCTAAGTGAAAGGGATTTGTTTTTTTTTTTCCTACGTATGTGGTAGAAGCCGTTTATTTTACGCAGGTTGCAAAAAGGTACAAAGGGGATTAAAGTCACTTTAGCTTTTCCTTCAAGTCTGACGTTTTTAGGAAATAAAATCATCTTTTTGGAGCTTGTTCTTGGCTTGGTATAAACCTGCTTGGTTGTGGTGTGGGGGTTTTTGTTCAAACCAGTAGAATATTCTAAAGCATCACTTAGATGAAATTCCTACTGGCTTCAGTATGGAATTTGGTTTAAACATCCACGTGATAAAATGTCAGTGGAGAATTCAGTCACTAGCTTGTGACAGCAATAAGATTGATATTTCACCAATGTTTTAACTGTCAAAACTAAGTGCCACAAGCTTAAATGAAGCCAAATTTGGTGTATTTTTATTCACTGTTTCACCAGAATGTTCTTAACCTGTGTTATGTTTGTTCATTTGCAGCGTGTTCAAAACACTGGACCTGGCTAGATGGAATTGGACTTAGCTGGAAACCATGAAGAAACATTTTGCATGAAACTTTCATGTGATTGAAGCCATGGCATCGTCAACAAACTTAGATATTGGGGCCCAGTTAATTGTGGAAGAATGTACCACGAGCTACAACCTGCCTCCCATGCCAGACATTAAAGTGGAGCATCAGCTAGACTCCAGCACAGAGGAAGGCCCAGCTCAGAGTGTCACCATGGGGATGAAATTCATTTTGCCCAATAGATTTGATATGAATGTCTGCTCGCGATTTGTGAAGTCTCTGAATGAGGAAGACAGTAAAAATATTCAAGACCAAGTCAACTCTGACCTTGAAGTTGCGTCTGTCTTATTTAAAGGTTGAATTTATGGTACAGATTGTTATCTGTGGACTGTGTCATCCTGTTAAGCTATTATGTTTTCTTAAAAAAAAAAAGCCACTACCTTATATGTGTATTAATCAGTTTTCTAAGACTTCTTCCCCTATTTATTATATCATTAATGGATTATTGATGTAACATTAATTTTCACCAAGATTATTTTTTAAAACATATTTCAATTTTTCTTTTACATTGGAAAAAGCAGTGGCACAAAAAGTCCAAGTTAACAAGAGCTGATGCTGATCATGGAAACATTTGTGTAGCATGTACTACAACAGTATGGATCTTCACAAAACACTTCTGAAAGCACTATGCGATGATTTTAATTTTAGCTTTCAGCAGCATATTTTATCTTTTCACTAGTATGAGGAAAAAATAATGTAGGTCTTGTGGTTGTCTGTTTTATCACTGTGGCTGTACAGAGCCTGTGGTTGTAGAAAAGGGCTTGTCAGCTCAGCTTCACGCTACTTGAAAGCAAAAGCTGCTCCAATTCTGAATGCCTGCAGCTAATCCAGCCATTGCTGGGCAGCTTCATCATGACTAATCCATGTTTTTCATGGCTGGGGATACTGATACAGAACAAAATTAGATCTTCCATTTATTTCCCCTTAACTGATGTCATATTTCAGACTGTTAATGGTGTGTTTTCTCATGAGGTTGAATGTCATCCATTTTCTGAAACAAATGCAAATACATGCCTATTGTGAATTTCGATGGTTTCACTGATTGGTATTGCTGGGCTGCAGTTCAGCCATTGCAGTTTTCAGACTTTTTTGACTGGGAGGCCCTAAGTGCTCACCCGCAGAGCCACAGGTCTGAGAGGCAGACTTAGATCTGTCAGCAGTAGACATTGCTGTCTTAGAAGTAGTCCTGCAGATCCAGGGACCACGGGTCAAAATCTGTGGTAGGGCATTTAATTCAGTGAAGTCAGCTGTAGCTATTTGATTGGCAAACAAAATGTAATTTAATTTTTATCCTGTAAAGCTCTACTTCTTTTAATTAGTTCTTTCCCAGAATTTGCGCTTGGGTTTATGATCACAAAGTTCTCTATGGTGTTAATTCAGCGTGTGTGTTAATTACCTTCCAGGTATTAATTACTGTTGCACACTGGTTTAAAATCAATAGGGAGTTTAATCCTTCAGTGTCTTTCCAGTATTTAATCAGTTAGCTTCTTTAAAATTACTTGGCTTCTCAGCTACTTCTCTAAACCGTAAGCAGCTTTTGAGAATCAGAAGCCAAGGCAATATATAAATATATTCTGTGGTAAAATGCCATTAGCTTCTAAGAGAAAACAAAGGAAAGTTAGTATGAGGGAACACATTACCACTGAATGACTTCCTGAATTCTAAGGGGTGACCTGCTGTTGCATTTTATGTAAGTTAGTGTGGAGCGTCTCTTTTCCTGGTGGATAAATATTCATAAGGCATTCATAATGCTGTTAAAATATTACCCAGGACTGGGAAAAGCCTTGGTGAAGAAAGTTAGTGAAGGTCATCTCCACCCATGCAGTGGACTGGTTGGGAGCAGGCAGAGGCATGATCTGAGCAGTTACCTGACTGCATGTCTGACCAGAGGTGCATCATGTCATTGCATTAGAGTGTCTGTAAGGATATGACTGGTTGAGTGGAACCCTCCTACAGATAAATCCATGCCAGGCATGTTGAAAAATCTAGACATAGGCTTACCTCATTTAGAGTCTTTGGGTGACATTGTGCCATACTGAATGTGTGTGGTAGCAGCACTGTTTTATGCTAGAAATGAATGCAGCCCTTTATTCAACTTTCACAATACACAGTGGGAAAAGCACATGTCAAAAGCTTTCTTAACATGGATTTTCAAGGTCTTGTGATACTGCTGCTTTCTAGTTTGACTTAGAATCTATAGCTTGCTTTTAATGCTCTTACTAGTACTGAAATCCTGTCTGGTTTTTTTGTTCAATGTAGCTGAATGCAACAGCCATACTTCTCCTTCCCCTGGTATCCAAGTAAGACATGTTTATACTCCATCAACTACTAAGCATTTCTCACCAATAAAACAATCAACCACTTTAACTAACAAACACAGGGGAAACGAAGTCTCTACAACACCTCTGCTTGTGAACTGTAAGTATCCTTCTGCTTTACTGTTAATAATTATTTTGTGAACTGTACGTTGAATGCTTGACAGATTTTTCCCGTTTTTCCTTTGGTGTTGCAATGAACTTTGACATAGGAAGAAAACACTGAAATTAGTCTTGTCTAATATCATATGGTTCCAACCACAAAAGTCATCCACCTTTTGTATTGAATTAATGACTGAAGCTTATTTTCCAGAAAGAATCTAATTACTGATTTAAATAATACAGGTAAAGATTTTTCTAATTTTTTTGTAAGCTGTAAGTTAATGTGCGTCATAGACATTTTCAGAATTTGTGCATCTTGTAAAATTTATTAAAATTAGGTGATTGGTAAGTGCTACAGAAAACTGCAAATATCACGATTGTCATGGATCTTGAAAATCAAGAAAGTAGTGTTACTTATAGTGGGTGGTTTTCTGATTTTTCAACCATTTTCTTTATAAATTAATTTGCATTAATTTACTTTATCTGTAAATTATTTCCTCTATAAATTATAGTGGGGTTTTTTTCAAAAAGCCACTTGCTTGGGAAGAATTAATCTGGAGCTGAAGTTTAGGCCTCTGAATAAATGTGATGTCTTTCTGAAACTTTCATGTAGTGACTGAGGACAGTCAACATTTACAGCTGATGTAAACATTAGCTGATTTTATTACTATGTAGTGTGGATAATATATTACATATTCCCTCCTGAGCATCTTTCAGGCCTGCTCCAAGTTGCGTTTAGTGTGGGATTGGAGATTTTTTCTTCATAATCTCTTAAGAATTATTCTGCTTTTAAGACATGGTACCTTATATTAAGGAATTAAAAAAAAAAAACAAAAAACATAATTTCTTCCTTCCCCTCTGTACATCAGGTTGTATATAATTTTGTAATGTCAGATCTATTCCACATTGTAGCGAGTGAGAGTTACACTAGAGGTTTTCTCTTTTGAATAGCAGGAGAGCTCTTCTGATGATACGCAGTGTCTTAGGTGTAATTTTTAAATTACACATCCCTAATTTATCAACATATGTTTAATTTCATTTGATAAATGGTCTTAATGTGATCTTGGTTTGCTGAGCAAGTAGTAGAGAAGAGATCATGTCGCTTTGTAAAAAGTCAGCATGAGAAGTATGTATCTTTGCTTTCAAGTATGACTTCTGCAATGGTTAAAAAATTATGTAAACCTGTGGAAGTCTTTGAAAACTTTAGTATTTAAGAGAGTGATTTCAGTTCAGAGTATAAGGTGAAACCTATATACCCTCTCAAATCCAAGTTCTGTACTGCTCGAGCCAATGGCCGTGTTATACTCTGCTCCAGTTAAAGTATAATGAAAACTGGTGTGTGTAAAACATGCTTTTGCTTCCTTTTCTGCAGCTTTATCAGTCCATCAGCTGGCTGCTCAGGGAGAAATGTTATATCTGGCCACACGTATTGAACAAGGTAAGACAGAAAGAGGTTAAATGCCTTTCTTTCTCCTTTGGGCCATTTACATGCTGTTCTATTTGACCTTTCCTTGAAGCTGTATTAAAAAATAAGTCCTCAGTTCTGGTACAAATTGAAAGATATTTGACTTATCTGTGCTTTGTAGATGTGGACCGC